ACCAAGGCTGGTTCGTCTGTTCTTTTTAAGTTTCATTTTGTCCTGTGCAAACTCCTCATGGCTGTTATTGAAGAAATCCCATTGATACAGCTGTAAGGCTGCAGCAGTAGATCAGTCACATACACTGCGGCTTTATTAGTGGGGACTGTTGAAGCAAAAGTGTTTGGAGCTTAAGTTACTGCTTCATTGCTGCAGATTTGATAAAGGCTAAGAGGCTAAGAAGAAATGATTAGGAATGTTTAAATCAAGTATTATTTATAATCAAACTAATTTCGTGAACACACAGGCAAAACTCACTCTGCGTAAGCAGGTGGTGAGCGCTAGTGACTTTTACTGGAATGTGGGACTGACTCACTGCCCAACAGAACAAAGTTGCTCTTGAAACTCATAGGGTACAAGAAGTTTTGGATTTACTGGGGCAGAACAGATGCAGAATCGCATATAGTTGCAGCCCCAATCCTTTTCCTTCCCACTCTGCCCCCTTCCAGGAATTAAGTTGCCATAAAAATTGTGATTATTTATATAGATAATAAAAGTTTTTTTGTTTGCTTTTGGAGATCTAGATTTTGAGTAAATGCTTAATATATATATTTTTTGGCTTTCGCTCCAAGATAGTGAGACTTTCTTAAAGGCACTACTGAGGTTTTTAGACTGACACCTGAATGGGAACTTCCCACATTTTTACCTGAACACCCAAATTACCGCTTTTCTCAAATCCTGAGAACTTGAGGAAAACCAACAAATATGAAGACACTTAGTACTGCTGTTCTGGATGTGAACTGTGTTTACTCAGGAAAGACTGTTGTCCTGTCACTTCTGCATAGGTTACCTGAGATTCCAGGTAATGCTGATGCACAAGGAGTTTGTTTCAATGACAGTCATTAGGGTTAGTTATCTTTAGTCCAAGGTGCCAGTGATACACGCAAATAGAAGTAAAATGGTATAGTTAGCAAAATAGATGCATTGTGTTAATTTCTTAATTCTTTTACACAGTGCTTTTAAAGTAAAAAGTATTTTGAGCGCTATGTTATTTTTAAACCAAGGACATTTTGTGCTGAAATTGGCTATTGCAACACTGGTTTAGAGTTAGAAGACATGAAATTCAAAACCACAGTAAGCCTAATTTTGACATTCTTGCCTTTTTAACTTCTCAACAATAGTGTTGTGTTTGTATAGTGTTTAAAAATATTTGTTGAGAGGAATGTAAAGAGCTACTGGCAGGCTTCTCTGTTAACTGTTTATGTGTGCACAGCTGGCCTTGGTGCTCAGAAATGAGCTGTACTGAAAAACCCGGCGGTGAGCGCTCCGCTCTGAGTCCAGAGCTCAGACCGTGTGTTCCCTGTAATGCAAAGGAGCATCAGTAGCCTGAGCCAGGTTGGGGCACAGCGGCACCACAACGTGGCTGCTCCCACGGCCTTCAGCTCGAAGTGCTCAGTGTGCCGCGATGGGCAAAAATGCCTGTCCAGCAATTCCTCCCATCCCAACTTGCTGTGGTATGTGCATATCTGCATTGGAATTGGCTCCAAGGCACAACACAGGCAAACAAGTAGTAATATTCAGAATAATATAATTAGACCATGAGAATGCATTTTATGAAGTAGTAGTTGGTGTTATGATGCTACAACACCTATTTCTGCCTGGCTTGTCCCCGATGCCCCAACAAACATTAGAGAGAGGTTTAGGAAGGCCAGGAACTGCTTGTTTCCAACCTGCTGTGGCCACGAGCATGGATAATTTTCTCAGCAATGGATTTGCAAAGTTGGGGCCTGCTTGTGTCGATCTCCAGGAAGAAATTAGTTTTGGATTTAACATTTCACTGATCAAACCAACCTGAACGAATTCACGCAGGGGAAAGAAAAATTGGAAAGCAGCTTGAGAAATGATTTCTCCTTTTTGCTGTTGCATTGCATTTTTGGCATGCACTGTCTGCATTTTGAATAATAGGTCATCTGATGCGATGTAATGTGATAGCAATACAAACTGGGTAATCCTGGGAACAAGCAGCTCGGATCTTGCCTTTCCAAATTTTACTGTTCTAAAACTTGACTTCTTTGTTAAAAATGAACTGTTTCCAGGGGGTAAAAAGCCCCCAGAGAAGAACTGTTGGCATTTTATATTTTTAAGCTGTCTTGTTGAATGAAAACAGTTGATTATTAACTTGATGGGGTGACAATGAGTATATAGAATTTAAATATCTCACCACTCCCACGAAGAAAAAAAAAATCCACCCTCCATTGTATCATGGGAGATACATAGCCAGAAAAATTTTCCAACTCGTTAAACTTTTATACTTGCTTCAGACAAGCTTCATGTGGGCTTTTTTCCATCCCGCAATGTTGCAGGGACACTTCAGAATGTAGCTCAGAAGGATACCTTCAGGTTAACTCTTTTTTTTTTCTTCTGAATATGCCTATAACAGAAAAAGCTAAACTTAATCTGAAAGAATACAAAAAGCTTTCCTTGCTTGTGCCATTCATCTTGCTTGTTCTGCTAATCCCGATAACAAAATCACTTTGAACATTTCCCCTGCGTTCCATTTAGTCAGCTTCAATGATTGTATGGGGCTTTCAGACAAGCAAAATAAAGGAAGAAAGCTTTTAAAAACAGGAAAATATTATTGTAAACACATCTTAAAAGCCATAAACTCTGAAAGGGTACTCGGGGTCAAATGTTGCACCTGAATGTACTTGTTGTGTTCTGTGGTGGATGCTTCGATGGTGTTGGTTTTTGGGAGGCTTTTTTGTCTTCTTTGGGTGATAGGGGAGAATACCGATGTAGAGGACTAGACTTTGGCTGTATCACTTATAAGCTAACATTTTGTATTGGACATGGGAGGAGATCGAGTCATCGTTCTCATTTAAGGTCTGAAAGTAACATCCGAAAGTAACTTTTTTGCTCGTTCTGAGCCTCTTGCGCTCTGTTGTGTGTCCCTTTTGCTGGTCAGATGGGACAGCTCTTCACTATCTGTGTACTCTGGGAGGCCAAGTCACATCTTGGTGTAGGGCCATGACTCGCAGGAAGTGTACAATATCCCTCTTATTATTTCTCTGCAGTGTAATTTTAGTTTTCCTGCACCCTGTCAGGTTTCCTGTTGTGATTCTTGCTCCTAATTGCCTTTTCCAGGGTCTCCTGCTTGTTCTCATCATGCCCTTCCATTTGTTCTTCATCCTCCTTTTTGTTGTGCTCGATCGGGTTGTTGCCTGCAGTTGCACGTGCACAGCCCGCTGTCATCCTCTGCGACTAGCCCTGGGGAGAAGATACCACGTGCTCTGCGAAGCTGTGGTGGTGCATCTCCCCTGCAGCTCATCTGGTCCACCAAGCAGGAGGTGGACTCCAGTTTTGCCTGGATGCTGCATGCATAAAAAAGGACTTTGCAAGTTCTAAATCAAGAATTATTGCTTCATACTTCTGTCTCTCCAAAATAGATGATTTAGACATTCCCTCACCATTAATTACATCCTCTCATCTTGTAGCAGCAAGTAAAATGGCCATTCTGGACACATCGTTCCACTAGAAACAGTCAAACATGACTTCTTATTGGTTGGAGTCCTGCAAGCTTCTGAAAATACATGGCCAGTCCGTTTTGAGAAGTGCATCCTGCTGCGCTTGAATCAGGATATGGAATAACCAGACAGCTCAGTCCCTTTCTCAAGACTGTGTCCAGGCGAATGAGACCAACTAGTTCAGTGTTTAGAGTCATTCCCAATTAAAACCAGAGGTAGACACTTTAAGGGAAGTACAGTACACTGATGAGAGAAAGCTAGCACCAGTTCAAATTTCTAGGTGGCATTAAAAGTGCACGATACCATTATGTCAATACTCTCACCCACAGAGTGGGTGGTACAGCCCCCCTTCTGGAGATCACAGGATCCAGGCACCCACATTTGCCAATAAATTGACCTCTAAACTGTTCAGGCAAATATGTGGAAGAGTGCCCAAACTTCAACAGTTTGCAGAAGTTTGCAAGCTTGCCTTTGCACCCCATAGCAGTTTCAAATACAGCATCTTTCAAGTGCTGTGTACCACAAAATGCTCCATGAGAGTCATGTGGAGGTGAAAAGATTTCCAGGCAAGCTTCAAAGAGAAGGATGTGACTAAGTGTCATGCAGGGCGCCAGGACACAGTCACAGCCAGATGAGGCAGCTCAAATGGAAGAAGTGCTCCCAGCTGCCAGGGAAAAGGGAGAGGGTTTGGAGGAAACTGCATCTGGAGGATGATGATGAATAGGCAGGTGGGAAAGGTAGAAGGAAACATCTCCATGGGCTGTGTTTGAAACGCCAGGAGATGTGTCTTCTCTCCATGGAAGGTAACCTGTGAGTAAGGCAGTGAAATTCAAGGAAGCTGGCTCTGCCCCAAACTTCCTATGCCTGTCCTTGGACAAATCCCTCTCCCTGTGACTCAGTATCCATCTGTAAAATGGGGATGGCTACTTACCTCATAGGATGTTGTGAGTTTAATCCTGTGGATGCTCTTGCAGTTTAAGGAGGAGAAAATAACAAGGAACAGAAAGCGAACACAAAGTCTAACATAAGAAGGAATCTGTCCTTCCCTCACCTCCACATCTGAATTTCATCATGTTCCCAACCATAATATACTGGGAACATATACATAATTGAAATATATTGCTTAATTTGTAGTGGTGGGAACAATTCCTTGGTTTTAGGTTTTCTTTTTCAGAGCTCTTAAGATGTAATTATGTCTGTTTATACAATCTGTTGTGGTTTTAAGCAATTTCTAGTAGGAAATCAGAATAAATAATGAATAATAAATCAAAATTAGACAAATACAAGTTGTAATCAAGTAACACAAGAGGAATGGGGCAAGAAGCAGAGTTTGTAAGAGGTATCTCATTCAGAGAAAATGCAAATCCTAAGACACTGCTTGCAAGAAGGAGTGGTTCTGGCTTGGGTCTTCCTTGCACTCCATACTCTGTGCCAACCTGAAGAGGACAAAGCCCAGGGAAGATAACTGAAGAAAGCAAAAGAGTTCATTGCCTCTTTACTCTCTCGTTCGCAAATAAACTTTTGCAAAAGGAAGGGATTTTAACTGCGTTTGGGTTTCAACTTTAATGCTTGAAATACATGTCATGTCAGTCTTATTCAGGTGACAGGCCAGAATGTAATAGCTACAGTCCAAACCCAGGAGCCTAGAGATGACACCTTTTAGGACATGCTGTGAATTGACTTACCTTATGCTAACAATTTATCCTGTCCATGCTTTGATGTCCTGATGCAAACTGGAGCACCTCATCTCCTCTATTAGAGGAGAGGTGCAGGGCTTCATGAAATGCTCTGAAGAACTAGAGATCCTCAGGTGGAAAATGCTTACGAGGTCACTTGCTCAGAGTTACAGGATGTTTTAAACAGGACCAAAATTATCATATTTTGCCTGTCAAAACTGACTTTTCTTTAAGAAGTATAAAAATCTCAAAAGTATATTAGCTAGAGAAGATAAACCTTATCTAAATTGTATTTGAAAGGCCTGCATTAGAAAGGTTTTTTTTGCATAAGCTTTCACAGCACTTGTCAAGACCATATTTGGAGAATAAATATGATTTTTATTTTCTTCAAGAAACAGGTGGTAGCATGTGGAAACATTTTGTTATTAAATTTTAGTCATGGTTCTTTCTTTTTTTTTTCTTCTTTCTTCTTCCCATCTGCAGTTGAATATGACAAGGAGTTCACACCTCACCAGCGGCACCACAAGGAGTTCAAATTTAATTTGTCTCAGATTCCTGAGGGCGAGGCCGTGACGGCTGCTGAGTTTCGAATCTACAAAGACTGTGTCATGGGGAGCTTTAAAAACCAATCCTTCCTTATCAGCATCTATCAAGTGCTACAGGAACATCAGAACCGGTAGGCAAGCGGTGGTCCTGCTACGCTGTCCACTGTTTCAAGGAAGGACGAGGGTGTGGGTTCATGCTGGGGTTCAGGAGTTGGGAAATCAGCTAAATAGCTACCACCTTTTTGCTCAGATTGACAGGGAGTGTTACTGTATGGCCCTTCTCTTCTGAGAAAGGAATATAGTAGAGTGCAAAAAGGTCCTCAGCTGAAGAAACCCTGCAATATATTAGCTCAGGGCGTCACTCAGCTGCAACACTTCTCTTGTCTGTAAATAAACCAAGACTCTGACATGAGGCAATAGAATTCAACAGCAAAGGTATTATATGCTATTGTTGCTTATGCAAAATGAATTATACATACCCCCTTTCACCGTAAGCATACAAGAAGAAAAAAAAAAAAGTCCAAAAAATACTGGTAATTTGTGCAGGCTTCACCTGCTTACAACTTGTATCTTTTGAAATTCAAAACATATTAACTTTATCAAACTTCTGCTGGACTAAGAAAATCAATAACTGTGATTCTTGTGCTATTTTACCATTTTACATAAAGAGAAATGCTAAATGAAATGGTACCTTAGATAGGAATGTCAGTTTTTTACTTTACTGGGCGACTTATCCAGGTTATCCACCTTCTTTTTATTCCTCACTGTGAAAATCCAATGAGGAGTTGATGGTGATGTTCTCTGACAGACTGAAGTGATATTTAAATCTGGCTTTGGGAACATCCATAAGATGCATTTAAAAATGCTGCCAAAGACAGATTGAAATATAATACGCTGAAGTATTTCTGCTAAAATTTTGGTGCCTGTAGATCAGATACTGTCTACATGAGGTCTTGATCAACTTTGTCTCTAAAACGAAAACAAGAAAACAAGCAAAAAAAAAAAAAAAAAAAGCCCAGACATGTTAGACCTTTGCTGCAGTTGGATATTGAATTACATTAGACCATAGATACAGATACAAAATACTCTGAGCTTTCAGTGGCAATGAGATAGGTAAGAGAGAGAGGCTGGGATAGAAATTGTGGCACACAAATCTGTACAAGGGTAAACTGGTGGGTTTATTTGAAAGGTATAGCTTTTGTGGTGGGGGATTCATGCAAGGAAAATAATGTGGCCAATTAATATGTAACCAATTAATAGTCAAAATAATGCTGAGGTATGGAACTGTTGCCTTACTTTTGATGAAACATGTAGACGCTGTAACTTGCTCCTGCTGGAGGCAGAGAAAAGGAAATAGGAAACATCAGCGTTAAAAAAAAAATGTGTTCTTTCCTCTATGAAAGTCTACCTGGTGCTTTCTTTCTGATGCTTCTTTCTTCAGCCTTTCCATTGATAATGTTGTGAGGGATCTGTCTTTGAATTAGTTGTGAGTAATTCAGACTTTGAACAGTTGATAGTTGTGCTATAGGGAGGATGGCCTTCATGGAAATTGAGAGAAACACTGAATATAGGGATGTCGGTGGCAAATTATGTTATGAGGACAGTGTTCTTTTATTGCATTGAGTTGTTGCTTGGTGGACTGTCTTCTAGATGGTGTGCTTGCTGGGTAGGATGTTTTATCAATTAACATTTTCTTCAGAGCTGATAGAAGTTCCATGTTCATGCAGATTTCATAGATATTAGCTGTACTGCCAAAACATTCATGAGTCTGGTCTATTTTACATTTCAGAAATGCAGTTCCCATCACCAGAGTGGAAGGAAAATCTTTGTGAAGTGTTGCTGAAAGTGATAAATACAGTTCTCCGTACAGTGCTAGTCACCAAAGCAGGGTGTAGAGTTACGTCAGGTTTCAAGTTGTCTCTTCGAAGGAGAATTGTCAACTTTTATGTCTATTTAATGTTATTTTAGAATAAACTGGGCAAGCAAATAGTAGATAGTGCATTGCAAGAAGGAGTAGGGGGTAGAGTAACTAAGTACAGGATACAGGGTACAGCAGCTAAGATTTCACATCTTAACAAGTTTAAAAAATCTTGGATCCAAAAATGGCTGTTAGTTAGGCAACGACGTTGGAACCTTATATCTTTATTTCAAACAAACAAACATGCCAAAAAATATTTAGCATTTCAAAGCTGGGATATGCATCCTTAGGTACTATTAACATTTATGTGTGATCAACAGCTCCATATATGCAGAGTAGGGGTAGCATCTGGAAAGGAATGGAAGGGCACTTTTTCTCCAGAGCTGGTGAATAGTTGGGGTCTCCCACTTCCCTTCTGCTGCTGACTGCGTGTGCTGGAGGGCATCCTTCCATTTCTGCTGAGGATCATAAGGCAGTTTTCTAGACAAAATTCCCAAGAATGCAGAATCCCTGGTGACATGGGCTACACTTGGACTGGTGGCCCAGATATGAGTGTCTGTCAGTCATTACTAGTCTCTGAGTCAGCTAGTCAGCCCCAAAGCTCCTTTTCCTTTTCTCTTTTTATGCAAGTGAGTAGAGGGAGGTTTTTGACTAAGAAACTTACAACTCTGGATGAGGTTGTATGACTTGCCACAACAATTCTCATCTATACAGATGTGGGCAAAATGTAGCTTGTAAAGTCTTGAAGTCGTAGAAAGAACATTCTCTCTTTTTCCTTTTTTCTTAAATGAGTGTTAGACACAGAAACATATATGAAAATATGTATGGTTGTATATATATATGTATGTATTCTCTGTATCTGTATATAAATATATATGTATATGAGATATACATATTTCATAGACCATTATAATAAGATACTAGAAGTTGCTTCAGTGTTATATTCAGTTTAAGTTCTGACTCTATAGACTGTTGTTGATTCAAATGTGCTGCCAGGTTGGTGACACAGGTGGTCTTTGGGGTTTTGAACATTCTTGAAAACACATACTAAAATGCTGCAGTTAACAGTTCACTACCACCTGTGCATGGAGACAAAAACTGTCTTCTGTCTCAGAGTCTTCTTGGATGCCATATTCGTTCAGTGTATTTTTTTTTTGATCATCAATTCTCTCATTTGCTTTTACTAGAAAAGAAAAATTTCCAAGTTGTTAATACATTTTTTTTCTATTGTCTCAATGCATTAATTTGGAATAGAATGTTTTCTTTTCCTGTTCGGAACTCCAGAAAGAACAATCATAAAAAATGTTGTTTTTTTAAAGAAAAAGCTTGTTAAATACTTCTAAGGCTTCTGTTCTGTTCTAGCAGACATCCTAAAAGCCAGAAAATAACAGCTGTCTTTGTCTTTAAAAAAAAATAAAGTGTTGTGTCATATTTCCTTTAGACTAATGGTTTGAGTAACAGCCTGGTATTTCCTGGCATTTGATGACGTTGTATTACATAAAGAAGAGTCCATACAGATTGTGGATTCTCATTAGTGAACTGGCAGACTGAAGAAAATTGAAGTAGCACCCTTTATCATCTTACTCTGTTGTCAGATATTTCTTTTCGTCTGGAAAATTCGTCTCTGAAGACGATATGAGATAATCTGTTCAGTTAACATTGTTAGTCTCTAGAGAAAATTCAAAGTTGAGCTTGTTTTTTATGAGGTTAACAATTGTCTTGAGACAATTATCTAGTCCCTTTATAGTAAACCTCCTAAGTCTTTTTGGTAGCTAATGAAACACATTCAGGTGCAAATAACAGTGCAATGAAGTGGCTTAATTCAGCATTACTTGAACAGAAAATGACACACAAGTATGAGACTCCAATCCATATGTGAGCACTGTTTAATAGGGTCACAAGCAGTTCTGACAACTCCCCAAAACACAGTGTAATGGCTAAAACGAAAGCCAGAACTGAGCCTAAAATGTCTACCATGGCTGCCTATTATATCAAACCTTTTTTTTTGTTCTCATAGACAAGCCTGAAGACAAAGATTGTACCGGCTCATTCAAAATTGTCTTCTAGATAAGAGTCTATGCAGAAAAGATGAGAATGATCAGAGATTGATGCTTATTAAAATAGCACAAGAAAGAAAGAAAGAAAAAAAAATAAACAAAAACATGTCAGAGAGTTATTTGATGCTATTCCTGCCTAAAGCAATCAGAAATATGAAAATGATACTCATGGAGTTTGCAGGCAACGAAGCATGCATCCAGGACAGTGTGGTCTAAGCACATTCTCTCTGAAAAAAGAAAACATTTTTAATACTGACTCACTTATTCAGTAATATTTTCATCTCCCCATTCCTTCCACCCTTTTGTAAGGTTAAAAAAAATAGTGCCTAGAAACTAAGCTTTTGTTTTAAAACCAAACCAGGGGTAACAGCCACATTATTTCCTAACGCAAACCACTGGAGTTGTCAGTGGAAGGCTGCAAAGAGATTAATGAAACTTTTATGATAGGTGAAGCTTATGGCCAACTGTGCATTACACACATTTCTGACTGTGTGGAAAAGAGGCTTATGAAACAGAACCACGGTGACGTTTGCTTTGCTCGGCACAGCTTTAGACTTTGAAACAGGCGGTGGGTTAGTCTGACATGAGGAGAGGAGCTTTGCCAAAGCAGCTCCTTGGGAGACACACCTTGTCTCAGCAGTTGGCTCAGCTGGTGACGCTCCAGCCTGTCCTCCTCTGCTTTGTGCAATGCTGAGGCAGAACTGAGGCAGACACAAGAGCTTTCCTGGTTGATCTCAAATGTACTGCTTTTGTGGAAGACCAGCAAAGCTCCCTGTGATTTCTTATGCCTTTTGGGAGTAGTTTACCATGTAAGTGAGACTTTCAGAAGTGCAGGAAAGAAATGAGTTTATCTCTGGCAGCAGATCATTAATTTCTTCTTCTTTCCTGAAACATCCTTGCTCTCACCCAGAGAGGTGTCAGGTCAGGACTAGAGAGGGCAGGCAGTTTGTGGTTGATCAAAGATGTCAATCTTTGGCTTGGATCATTAGTATGTTTTCAAGTGTAAATATCCTGTTAATACAGACCTCCGAACACTCCCACACTGTCCAAACAACTGATCTATAAAAAACGTGAAGCAGTGGCCTGTGCTAATGATCAAAGGAAGATACGGTACTCGAATGGTCAAAGTTTATTAAACAGTTTAATTTGCCCCGAG